ATGGAACAGTAAATACAGTCAAAACTCGCACACCAAATTAAATAAAGCCAGAAACAGGTCTGCGTTAATTTGCAATGTGAAAATGCAACGTTTTAAATCAGATTCAGCTAGGCGTACATCGGCGGATGCACTCCAGTGGGCGCACGTGTTAATACGTCCTTCCTGAAGTGTGCACCGCACGTTACTTCCCGTTGTTTGAAATTGGTGCTTTTGAATGGACAAAATTGTTCCGCGTTGGCGCAAATTAACGAAGTGCACAGAAAGCTGTTTGCAGGATAATTGTTAAATACGTTTTGTTTCATTTAAAATAAAATTATTTTTATGCTCCCAACGATATTTCCATATTATATTCTTAGATTATATAGATAGAGCATCGAGCCTCAAAAATGATTAAATTTTTTGTCATCTAATTGTCAAATTAGGTGACTCGTTTTTTTGTTAATGTTCTATATACTTACGCATAAAATGTATCTTGACGTATTATCTAATAAATGTTATAAGTGTTTAGCATTAAAAAATGCGGAAATTGTAAGACAAAATAAATATAGAAATTATAAAGGAATCACTCATAACTATTCGCAAATTTGTATGAAAAAGTCCGTTTTTCTCGAAGCATTTCCATGGATCTATATAATCTAAGATTATATTATATTCATATTATTAGACAGTCAGAAATATAGTCCACTTTTGATTTTCCCGCAGAAAGGTGTCAATATAAAAATGTAATATAATATCATTAAATTATAATGCGCACTTTTACGTCTTTACTTGTAAAATCACGTTAATTCGCAATTAAAATTAAACTCCAACAAAATGTAATCTTTGAATACTAATTAACGATCGAAACCTATGCAAAATGGGTAGACGATTAATGTTATCCCATAAAATGTAATATCCTACAATATCCCCCATGATAGTAACTTTCCAACGATTGCGAGCCATCCATCGTAATAATGAATTTAAGCAAATGAAATTGGAAAATTCAATTGCTTCATTAAAGAACTCGTTTAGATAGATCTCTAAAACAGCTTTAAAATTAAATGAAAAGAGTTAGGGTCCGATGTTCAAATATTGGAGGGATAGCCATTAGACGCGCGCGCTTCAACCGTCATAATGGAGTCGTAAAAACTGTCAACATAGGTTACCTCACCAATTTAAGAAGACCCCAGCACTTTTGAGCGCTCCATATAAATGGATGAAGGCACAATTTTATTTATATATTTGCCACAAAATTTTATTTATTTTTGAGCCTCCTATGCTAACTTTACTGCCGATGCCCCGCTGTTTTTCAATTTATGTTTCTTTAGAAAAAAAATCTCGGTTTCTTTGTCAGTATACTACTTTAAAAACGTTGCATAGAATTCGCGCTTTTTTCGGTACTCGTATGTTACGCAATCTGAATCTTCTTAATCTGAGTTAATTTTTTTAATTATTCTCCCAATCCTGTTAATGCTGGAGATTATGGACACTTCTTGGAATTTGGAATTAATCATTATAAGTAAGAAAACATTTATATTATTCCCACAATTATTTTTTTGTCTTTGAATGTAATTTTAGATATAGATTAAATAGGATAACTCTCGTGAGAATATTTATATATTAATTTTCTCAGAATTGAATAAGCAAACTTTATGCTAAGATACAAATTTTAAATTTATTGAATAAATGTATATTTAATAGCACTTGCTTTTCTTCTAAACTTAGCAGGGTTCTCAATACCTGGTCATGTCAAGCGATCTTATTGACTACCAACCGTATAATCCGGACAAATAATGTTGTTAGTTCACTTTACGCTGATATACTAATGAAGGTGCTGTGTTTAAAGGAAGTCGTTTGCAACAAAGGTGTCCTGGGGTAGCTTTGTTGGTTTAACGTTTATAAACCGTGGAATTATCAACTAAAGAGTACACTATTTATTCTTTATAGAGTTGTTAAGCTTTTATCGAGTACATATTTGTGTGTGGTTTGTTTAAGATTTTTAATAACAAGTTTTATGTTTTTTAAACTGAGTGAACACGGTAATATAGATGTAAAAGTATTGTATTGTATAGTACTGTAACTATAGATGTAAAAATATATTCTGTGATTAGCTTTTGCCCGCAGCTTTGCTCGCGTATGGTATTCAAAAAGCGCTTAAAAGTATTTTATTTAATTTTAATTAAAAGTCTAAAACTAAAGTTAGAAATGTGATAGAACTCCCATACAAACTATCTATCTATGTTTATACTGGAAGTGTTCGTCTCAAATTTGTCTTTGACTCAGAATAACTATTTTTTGGGATAGAGAATGTAAAAGATATGTATTTTGTATGTCAGTCTCTATGGATTGCGAATCAATAGACAAGCGACGTACGTCAGTCACGTGAGGACCAAACTAGAATAGCTACAATTAAGGTGGTTGGATTTGACACCACAACTAGTCCAACACTGTCGAACGCATACTGTCTGAATGCAATCACAAATGCGGTTAGCTGTTCGTACACGCAGGCGATGTCTTAGTTCAATGATGTGCAATATCGTTATTATATTGTTTATTTTCATAATTATGTACATAATATACATACAGCTAAAACTTCTGGGTCTAGACATAAAATCTTTCAACGGGGTTCGTATTATAAAAAATGTATAAAATGGATAATAAATCTTATATATTTTATATAAGACTTACTAAGAAATACATGATTGAGGCTGGTTTATTTTGTGAATGAGGGAGCATATTTAATAACTTAATATTAACGTAAAATATTTTCTTTCTCCAATAAAATAATTATAATATTTATGTAGATAAATATTAAAATACTAAACATGAGTGTTTATGAAATAGATGAATATATTTTATTTACAGCAAGTTCTTTTTTAGTATTTAGTCTCATTCCGTAGAAGTTTTGAAAAATTTTTTAACTCGTAAGATTTCATTGTTATAAATTCCTACTGAAATAGGAAACTCAATTAACAAAAGATTTGTTGATATAAATATTATAAAATTATATAAAAATATTCATTCTGTTTACTGCATATGTTATTGTACAGTATTTTGTATGCAATTTGTTATAAAATTGAATTTAATTTAATTTTAAAAGTAATGTACAAAGATGAGCTGATCTCTAATAAAATATTTCTGTCAACGAATCTTGGATTTTAATGAAACTTTGTAAATCTGCATTGTTTGTCCTATTCAACTAGGGACGGATAATATATAAAAATATATATTATAATTACAATATCTATCTATATATTGACTCAATAACGGATATATTAAGTAGTGATTATTCAATTTATGATATTAAAATAAAGAACCCAATCAAAATGGATATAAATATCTGATCAGTATGGGTGATATCCCCTGCGTTTCCCATGAGTGTCGTAATAAGCGACTAAGGGAACTTAATGGTAGAAGGATCGGTAGCAGCGTCTCCCTTAAAATATCACCAAAGCCCAACTTCGTGTTGCCACCCCCTCTGCCAAGCGTGATAACTACTGGCAAAACCCCTCTTATGGAGGAGGCATATGTTAAATCAATGGGTGATATCACCATCGTAAGAGGAAATGATGGTATCTTTTTATAGGGGAACTAAATATATAGATATCGGATGCCTAGTTCCACCCAGTTATTATCTGGAATGTAAAAGATGGATCCAGTAAGTGGTGGTAGGAGGCAAAGCAATATTCGCCGGGTCAGTTATCTATATATAACAATAAGATGTCTGTTGCAATATACGTCTAGCGATTGCTCGGATGCAATCACAAATGCGGTTTGCCGCTCATCCACCCAGACATTCTGTCTCCGTTAGACGCCGCTCAGTCGAGCGTGACATTGTACCGTGTCGTTGTTATTGGGAGCAAAGCTCTTTACTGTAACACGAGTTCTCTTAATTGGCTAGCTTCTATAGGATGTGCCGTATTCGTACTGTGACATCTCATTTTACTAGCTATCTATTCGGTACTTCATCCAATAATGACCAATAAGTCGAACTATATTTCTAACTCAACCGCAACAAAGATTGTATTCCTATTATTTTAATCGAAATTTGTTTTTTATTCGTCCTAAAACAAAATTTTGTTTATGCATTCATGAACAGTATTTATAAATTGTCTATCTTAATAAAAGTTTTAATAGATAACTCGACAGATTGTGATAAGTCGAAGCACAAATTTAATAAGACAGAGTAAACTTGTCAGCCTGAAAACACAATATCTAATGAAAGCACAAAAAGGTAACATCTCTTACGTGGGTATGATCTCCTGGTGTTTGGACTATAAATAGAAAATTTTGTGAGATTTATTTTTTTTAATATTAAAAAGGTTTTTGACAGATCTTACATCTAAATCAGATAAAGCAAGAATTTTGGATATTACGTACAAAAATTCTCTTATTTTTTTATACAACAAAGGTGGCAATACTTACTAATAAATTTGGTGTTGATTTATCGAAAATTAAGTACTGGTAGCGGCGTAAGGTGGTTGTCAATCCGCCTGCCAAGTTTGGCAACTACTGGCAAAACCTCTCAATAGCGGAGGCCTATATTCAGCAGTATACAGACAACAACTGATATGATGATGATGATAATAAAGTATCTGCAACTTATTAAGTAAATTTAAAATGCATTTTGTCAACTGTAATGGATCAATTAATAAAGCGATTAAATTTATGCGTGGAATACAATTAACATTTTTTTTTTAATTAGCGATGTCCGCAAAGTCGTTTGTGTGATTGAATGTAGAATGAAATGGGATAAAAACTCCTTCCTCATTCCAAATAACTACGTGTATGTAAAATTTTATAACGATTGGTCGAGTCATTAATATGCTTAGAAGTAACAACCTTTATATTTACAGTATTAACACAGTATGCAAATAGCATTAGTATATGTGTAGTAAATTATTATAATTGAAAACGAAATAGTTAAATTCTTCCACAATACCTATGATACTGATAATTTTTTGATATAGTTTTTTTCTTTTTAAATATAAATCTAATAATATGAATTTGTTTTGTTTCAGGTAAACATACAACAGACTACAATCCCAAAGGAGCTCCGTATATTAATTTATGAAACATTATTTTTAGTCTATTTATTATTAGATCCTTTACCTGTTGTTGTTTATAGAAAATAATTTTGTACTAACTTGAAATACTCATCGAATTAATGGAAATATTAATCATTATTTTCTGTTTTTTTTTTTGGTTACAATTATTTTGTTTAATTCCGCTACCATTAGTATGTGTGCGACTGCCAACACTCGAAGATTGACTACTATTAGTATTAACTTCCTACAACTTTAAATTAGTCGGTATTATAATACCAGAGGCAATTAATGTTTCCAGAGAAGACTTTGTACAAAAGTCGATTGCTTGGGTACCTCTGTCCCATTCGTGTTTCTATCGTGAAGCAATTGTGTTTGCATGGCTGTGTTTCCATTTGAAAGATGGGATATGGCGTGAATTTACAGGGTCCAGAGGAATAACACCCGAGTCCTTAGGAATGGCAACGCATGGGGGGGATCATGGGTGAAACAGTATACTCTGTTATGTCCATGGTACTGCTCATGTCTATAGGCGATGATAACCACTTTCTATCTGTTAGAGCGTCAGCTTGTTTGCCATTCTAAGTTGTATAAAAAAAAATATATTAGTAACATTTAACATCTTAGATATATAATTTATTTGCATCACTTAGCACAGAAATAACAACATACGGTAAAGAGAAAAAAAGAAAAATACATAAAAGAAGTAAAATATTTTTTTTCTTTTCATATGTGCGCCACAGGTGTGTAACACAAAATGGCCATAATTCATTTTATTGCTTTGTCCTCAAAAGAGCAAAACACTGGTTTTCTCTTATAGCCAAAAGTCAGGCGAGAAATTCCTTGATAAAAAAGAATTAAATAAAATTAAATACAATTTAAGCTCCTTAGAAAACTTATCCGATTTGAAATTGGAACGGAATTCAAATTTAATTTCTAGGGCAAGGTTCGCCAGTCCATATATTTATAGAATTAAGAACCCTAACAGCAGTATCTCCGAACAGGTATGATATTGATATCTTCATGAAAAGAGCATATTCCTTCCTAAAAGTTAGGCAACATACCCACAATGTCTATTTTTCTGTGCTAATCACTTACTATCAAGTGAGCCGCATTCTCGTAAGCACCTTGTGTTTTAGAAAAAAAAACTTATTCTCTGTATTAGGTGGAAATATCGATTAAAAGTTACTAGCTTATTATTATTTTGTTTAACGTTATCTGTTTGATAATAGACAAAGGAACACCCAACAGTTTTCTCTTTATACGATAGTAAAAACTAAATTTTAATAGAAAACAAAAAAAAAATACAAAATGCATAAATGTAAAAAGAGCTTTAAATATTGTTTTATTCTTTAAATATATATTTTTTTTACTTTTTAATTATCTTATCTCTAATTATATATCTAGATTACCTTTCTCTTCTATTTAGATATTTATAGTTTATGGTTACTAAGATATAGCATTATGATGTACATATATAATAAAGCATAATAATTTCTTTATTTTTCAACTCCTGCTTTTAGCGGCAAACTATCAATCTGCAGTATATTGTTGTTATCTGTTATTCAAACTAAATGTTTATAGAAATAGTAAAATAAAATATTTGATAAGGAAAAAACTTTATGATTTCGTAATAAATTTGATATTCGAATCATAATGGCAATAATAAAAATAAGAGATCTTATTTCTGAGAATAGTAGTGTTTTTTTCTTAGTACTGTTATTTTTTATACTTATATAATTCAGACCTATGTTCTCAGTAACAATTTGATAAGTTAACCTAACAGATGATTTGCCCCAGTTATTGTATTTGGGAAAGTTTGTTCCCGTATAAATTTGAATTGTATAATAAATACCCTTCATAAATATTAATATTGAATCTGTTCTGAATAAATAAAGTTACTTATTAGGCGAAGTGAGAAATTTCACCTGTTATAAGTTGTATGTTTTGATAAAAACATAAAGAGCTGAGCTCGATCGATATTGGAGCTTCAAACTGAAATATCACTGTGACTTTAGAGTTCTGTAGTCTTATGATACAAACGAAACCTTTATATTTTATCCCATGCACATTTTGACATCTATATGTTACAATCTTAGATTGTAGTTATATCTTAAATAACATGTTTATATATAGACATTATGCTTAACCTGTGATTTCGTTCACGTGATCGGGATAAAAAAAAGTCCTATGTACTTCTCCATCCCATATACTTGTAGTATCTGTGTGAAAAATTCCATAACGACTGGTTAAGCTATTAAGGCGTCAATAGGTAACAAATAGGTAAAATCATTTTCATATTATATTTATATGAATAGTAAGGATTTATAATATTTACAGCAACATGTAAAAGAGTAACCCTTACAGAAAAGTTATAAATACTTACAGAAAGTAATTGGAATTTCTATGAATGATTTCTCCCAGTGTCAAACATTTCAATGAAATTTTGTTTAACGGAGATGTGTAGAGTTATTTTAAAGAGTTCAAAATTAGAAATCTTCTTTAGATTTTTAAAGCTTTGCTTTAGGTGCCACCTTTGCGAGATACAAGCAGTGTTAACTGAGATTTTATAGATATTTTAAACTTTCCAAACCCTGCATTAAATTTAAAAAAGTGATCATTTTAGAAGTGTTTATAAATAAGTCTATTTGAATAAAGATGTTTGACACATTTCAATGAAATTTTGTTTAACGGAGATGTGTAGAGTTATTTTAAAGAGTTCAAAATTAGAAATCTTCTTTAGATTTTTAAAGCTTTGCTTTAGGTGCCACCTTTGCGAAATACAAGCAGTGTTAACTGAGATTTTAAAGAGATTTTAAACTTTCCAAACCCTGCATTAAATTTAAAAAAATGATCATTTTAGAAGTGCTTATAAATAAGTCTATTTGAATAAAGATGTTTTGAGTTTAAATTTGAAACCTTCGAAGTATCAAAATTTAACCAACTATCGAGCCTTTTAACTTTTTAAATATCCATCTAAACATCTTAATTAAAACAGTTTAGTGGCTTTAAGTAAATATAATAATACATTTAGTATAATCAACAAAATGTAATATACAAATATTTCATAATTGTATGTATGTATGTGAATATTTTAGGCATTCTAAATAACATTCTAACTTGCAAAGTATTTAATTGACTTGTTAATCACTATACAGTTACGAGACCCTATAAATGGGCACCCAACTCGCTCTTGACCGTTTTTTCCGAACATTTCGTGGAATCTGTTCTTTGTAAAAGATTTCGTATTGTACTCTTCACAATTTCACTTGTGTCTTTGTTGTATGATAAAATGACCTTTTTTGTTAACACCTCAAGAGTTACGGGCTCTGAACAACGTTGTTACAGAATTTCCATTTGAACGAAGTTGCTTTGGTGCTGCGAAAAAGATATATGGCTGTGAGGAGCAATGAATAGAATACAATACTGTCCTGCGAGACTTGGTGGCAGCTGAAAATATTCTGCTTCAAACTGAATTAAAGTTATGTAGATGCAAATATAGTATAGGAATTCAGTTACAATTTTTAAAGCCATTTAGAATGGGAACAAAGCTGACGGGCCTTTTGAAGGAGAACGATAATCATATCGTCTGCAGACATGAATAGAACTATGAATATAATGTAACATTTACGACTTAATTTAATCGAGACTTACTAAACTACTGAATCGAAATTGAATAAATTTCCATGGGACCAATTTGTAAGTAAAAAAAAACCAAAATTTATTTATAAATAACGAAATTATGAAGAAACGAACGTAAAAAAAAATACAACCGAATTGAAAACCTTTTTGAAGTGTAATGAAAAAAAATATCGTAGATAATTTTTTCCAAGTTTAAAATTTGAACTGCCATGACCCGAGCTGTTGAGTTGAAGCGTGCCACCACAACTGACGGTGTGACCGTCAAAGCAAGGGAAGGGTTCTTTGGACACACGAATAAATCACTGAGCACACATTAATGGACCCCTGTCAAGTGGAATTAATGATTGCCAACCGTTCACGGATGAGGCAACCTTCATTTTCAAATTTCATTTGTCAAATTCTGAATATTGATTTTGGCTGGGACTGTGACGGGTTTTAATGAAACTTTATATAGTATACTAGTTTTCAGTCGTGACTCCGTCTGCATGACTGGGGAAAATGTAGATGAACCATTTCAATCTCAAATATCAAGAATTTCAGCCCTTAACTCTCCACTGCTGAACGTAAGCCTTTCCCATAAGGGGAGTTTTTGCTAGTAGTTGCCACGCTTGGCAGGCGAGTTGGCAGCCGCAGTTAGGGTTTTACAGTAATAAATTTACTTAATTTTTTTTTTATTCGCACCACTTTCAGCTACTTCTTTTATAAACGAGTGTGAATCTTAACTTACTTTTCTTTATCAATAAAGTCATACAAAGTTATCTGCCAGTGAATTTCCTTGGTTGTAAAATTTATGAGATTGAGTCTGTTATCGCATTAAATTTTTAGTTTCCGGTATTTGGATACAATTGTGTTTTTTGCTGTTAACAATATTTTGTAGATAATCTTTACAACCTATATCGATAACGATTACAAGAATTTAAAAAAAAATAATTCAATAATGTCTTTTTTTTTAATTACCACTACATTTCATTTCATTTCAGCCATTAACTGTCCACTAATCAATAATAAGCCTTCTCCATAAGAGGAGTTTTGCTATTAGTTGCCACGCTTGGCAGACGGATTGGCAACCGCAGTTAGGTTCTTGGTTATGTTTTAAAAGAGACTGCTACCCATCCCTCGACCATTAAGTTCCCTTAGTCGCCTCTTACGACACTTATAAGGAATGGAAGAAGTGGCCTATTCTATTTCGGGATCACACGGCAATAATGTTAGTATGGATATGTAAAAATTGTCCATAAATTATTTGTATTACTTTGTTTTGGTTTGGAGCAATATTTGTCTTGGAAACTCATACTATGTTTTATTGCGGCTTTTAACTAATGAAACTATATTCTGACGTATACTATTGATAGTTGTCGCTTTATTACATTCTAGCGTTTACCCAAGACTTCGTCTACGTGACTAGAACATGTTCTCTGACCAGTATAAAAAACACTATGTCCTTCTCCACCGTTATGAGATTACTATAGTACGTGTATACCAAATTTCATAGCGATTGGTTAAGCAGTTAAAATGACACAGCTTTCAAGCAATCCCTCTGGGAAACTACTCGTATCATGGTTAATTCCTTGTGAATTTGCTATAATAAGCCAACAAACCTTACTTCGTTCTCACATATATCATTCACTGATATCCCGTTACTATACGAGTATACCAATAGCGCAGGAAGGGATTTCATTTCTATCCCATTAAAGCTTCCTTCTAAAATCTCACCTTTTGTTTTTGCTAGCTACCTAAATAAGTCCAAGCTACTAGCGCATAACGTGACCGATGATATTGTTGTATATAATATATGGTATATATATATAATAATTATTATTTCGTACAAAATAAAAATTCTTAATATTAGTCCAATCTGTGATTTTAAAAAAATATCATTGAAGAATAGTATTTTTGTTTAATACTTAACACAACTTATAACTTAATGGTACTACATATCAGCAATTATTTACATTACTTATTTACTCAATCAAGCAAAAACTTTTACATTGTTATTACACTATTACCCATAATGCGTAAATAGATAAATATATTTTAATCATTAGACTCAATACTATAATACTACTGGAATCTGGTTTGTTTGGATCAGTTATATCTTCGGATTCAGTACTGTCGTCTATATTTTCCGAATCATCCTCTTCTGATTCTATATACTCTCTGAAATTACATATACATAAGAATTTTATTTAGTGTTAGCTATTTAATTTATCCTAATGTTATTACAGACTTAAAGATTATTGGATGGTTGTTACTTGATCATACAGACTTAATTTTTCTTATTTTCACATGTATAGAATATGAATATTATTGGTTTAATCTAGAAATGAGAGATATCTTTTTATAGTTGCACTGTTTTTCACCTAAGCCTACATTTGTTATGAATTTTTAACCAAAACATAAGAACTTCGTGTAAAATATAAAGTAAATATAACAAATACTCACATATCTTGTAATTGTAGCATAGATTCTATTATGTAATCCGTTACTAAGTCTTTAGCGTCGAAAGCAGCTACAAAATCTGCATGCAAGAAATCATCTCTGGCTACTCTTCTTACTACTGTATTAGGCATATCATTTGCCATAGCCAGCACATCTCTTTCATCAAGTAAATTATCATTAACAGTATAATGCATCGTTACATTGGCCGTTATCAAACTTATGTTATATATTGGTGGACTTGTTGATCCATATATTTCTCTGTTTCGTATTGCACCATAATTCCAGCGTCTAAATGACTTGTCTCTTATATTTTGACCGTAATGTGCTATTTGTTTTAAGGCAGCTCCTCCAAACATAGATCCCATAATGTCTTCTTCTATAACATCATCTCTCTGAAAGACATAATTTGCATATTAACCATAATTTGTAAGTTACAGATAATTACTTTATTTGGTTTCATTATTATATTATGAATTGACTTGTAAAATAGAAAAAAAAAATAGTATAATTATATTTGCTTACTGGTGATATATATATTTGTTATTCACTTTTTTTTATAAAAAGCTACATAAATGATTAGATTAATTTACTACAAGTAATATTATGCAAAATAATTTAAAAACCCCAATTTATTCTTTTATTGTTATGTATAAAATTATAAATTTTATTGTTATATACGTATATCGTTATAAAGATAAAACATCAGTTAAAAATTTTCAACTGCAATTAAAGTGCTACATTCTACGATAATATTTAGATGTTGTTATATTATTTCTTCTTGTATTTTTATCTAAATAAATAATATCATTCATATCCTTATTGTGTTTACATTAATTGCAATTAAATGTACTAACTGCACATTAAGTATTTAGATGTAATTTGGAACGTATTATTGGAAACTTTTGCTATCTGAAACCCATTTCATCTATTGTTATCTAAATAACTATAAAGCATTCCATCAGATGGGCCATCAGCTTGTTTGCCATTCTAAGTTGTATAAAAAAAAAGTTGAAATCCGATTTATTATAACACTTACTATTAATTTGGTAATGGTCTCCAAATCGCATAAAAATTCCTGCTCAGCATTGTCATCACAGATATCTGGTAAACTGTAGTCTGCTGAATCGTCGGTTGTTCTATTAAAAGAAAGTGGCGAGTCTACTTCTACGATGCCAAGACCGAGTGCTGCAGCCTAGAATAATTTGAAATGTTTACTTTTGAAATTAAAATCATTAGGAACAGTATAAAGAGGTTAAGAGGGTATTTGAGAGACTCTTCGTTAATATTTTACCGAACTAGGTAATTTTTTTTATGGGTGAAAGTGGTATGGTAACTCTGCCTGCGCTAACGGGATACGCTGGCGGAGCACCAGTGAAGGGTGATAGATGAGAATGAAAACAGGTCAGTTAGCCCATCATGATGAATTCATCAGGAAATAACCATCAACCAACACCCAACAGGTCGACCTGGTTGGGTATAGTGCTAGCAATAGGATTCTCAGTCTCCATTACTAACAATTCCTTTCCCCCCAACCCGAACTAGGTGTTATTTTGCGAAAGTCCATATCACTGGATATTTGATTAAAATTATTTTGTTTAATTCCGCTATAATTAGTATGTGAGCGACTGCCAATACTCGAAGATTAACTACTATTCTTATTACCAGTAGTTCTGCAACCTCCCGTATTAGTCATCAATTTACGATTGTCATTTAGATCAAGCCCGTTTTGCGATACGTATTTCATCTCTAAACGAGACATCTTTAGGCAAATTAATATATTGCTGCTCGGAGCATTAATCATTCGACATGCAATCTGCAAACTTGGCAGTCACACACACACTAAAGGTAGCGGAATTAAACAAAATAATTTTAATCGAATAACTAGAACTTTTCGTTGTTATTATATCTTATTAATAAAACTTAATTCTTATTACAATAAAATTGCGTGTTTCTGTGCGAAAATACTAAGTTAACATATTATAATAACAGACACAAAAAAACTATATTAATATCATCAACACATAATGAATTACGAGTATTAATTTCTCGTATCATGATGTTCTTTCACGCTAATATCCGAAACCCCTCCACCGACATTAAGTACATTTGCTAAAAGTGTATATTTTGCTAATAATCTAATTCATTAATTATCTAATTTAAAAATAAAATACACTTACGTATATAACATTGGTAAATGTCGCCAATGTCCGCAGCGCTGAGTTTGGAAAGTATTCTTGATATCCCACACCAGCCAAAAGGTGTACGGAAGTGAATTTCTCATTATATTCCGGCTTCATAGATGCCAGTACGAGGAACGCTGTTCCTCCTTGCGAATGGCCTATATAGTGGAGTTTCTCATTCCCAGTATAATTAAGAACGTAATCAATCATTTGAGCTACATCGTACATGCCAATTTCTTCGAAACTAAAGTCGAAGAACTGCGATTTGTCCTCTGAATCATCGGGGTCTAATGTCACATGACGACGGGATAATGTGTTACCACGGGCATTGCCAAGCCATACATCAAAACCAGCATCCGCAAAGTTGTAAGCTGTTAGACAAATTTCTTAAATTAATAATGTCCATATACTTATTCAAGAAAGTGCTTAATCGTTAAGTCCTTTGATGAATTTCCAAAAATTTGTTACACGTCTATTTTTATAATTTATAAGGAAAAAAATATTTGAAATATGTCAGCCGAGAAATAATGTTTGTAAGGTTGTGTTTCGGTTTAAAATGTAAAATATTGCATTAAAATTATAGGGTAAGATGGCAAAAAATTACAGTCCTTAAGAACGGCAAGACATGAAGAGTATTGTGACTATGATCCATTTTATGATGTCTGTACTACTGTTTATGTCTATAGACGACGGTTACCTATTAGTTGGGTCGACGTTTGTCAGTCTAGATATTATAAAAGAATCATTGGTATATTTAATTATTTATCTAATAGAATTTAAAGAACTCACCGACACCACGTTGTGAACCCAGTGCGATATAAGAGTTTGAAGCTACCATGAGTCCATGCATCATGAAAACTACTGGTCTTCTAGTGGCAGATGTGGTCTGGTGCTGTCCATACGGTATCCTGTGCATCTCCAGTATGTAGCCGTCATGTGTGGTGACGTGGTGGCGTTCTGCCACATACCCTTCATAACGGATCCATTCAGGCTAGAATATTATAAAATTGTTTTTTTTTTTCATCATCTCTATTGTAGTAATTTTATTCTATTAAGAACCTTAAGGCATATAAAAATAAAGTATTTAATTTTTTAAAATCGTTAGTAAACGTATTAGTAGTAATGTTATTTTTAAATTAACACTATAACAACAATACATTAATAAATAAACATGATAAGTGCATAGTTGAACATTATTATGAAGTAAAAGTGTTACAACACTGAAAAAAAAAAAGAATTAATAGATATGGAAATCACTTTTTACTAATATTCAGTAACTAGTACATAAAGTGTAGCTTCAATAGCGAAATATATGTAGTTAAAGGATATAAAATAAACAGATATAACAGGTTTTTTTTTTTAAATACTAATACTCACTATGGTACTCGCTAATAATGTAGCCTTAGATTTTTAATTTTTAAAATTGATTACGTATTTTTTGTGTTTATATATTAATAACAAAAATCTCGAATCTTTCGTTTTATTTATTTATTTAGTTTAAATAATTTAAAATATTTATACTTTGTGCTATCGTCTTTATTGTAAATATAAAAATAAATATACATATTTTCAATTATATTTACATGTTTTATTTTGTTATATATATTTTTTTTTCATTTATACTATTTACCACGATAGATAAAATTCAATAATCAATTTTTTAGTGATATTATTAACTATTCGTATTATTGTAGGTTTTATCACCTTATCTTTAATTATATTAGATGTCGTCTGAGTAAATTGAGTCAGACTGTAAAAAATAATTTCTTTATTAAATCTCTTAACAATCACCTTTATTTTTTTTGTAGTCTTATTTCAAAAGGGTTGCTAATTCACTTCATACTCCTTTCACTGCCCATTTCAAGTCATTATAATTAACTCTTGGCGTCTTATTTCCTTTATTTTTTTTTTTTCTTAACGAGCCAAAAAAAAATTCTATCGTGTTGATGTTTTAAAAATAGAACAGATTTTTAATTTTGTATCAAAGACAATTTTATTTAAAAATGTAATTCGCAGACGAAGACATTTGAAGTTAAAGCAGCTTATTTTCCACTATTTGTTATAATGCTGCTCCGTAAATATATCTCGAAGACTCTCTTCAGAAGTAGGACATTTTCATGATCAGCACAAATATATGTATATATAATAAAACATCCAGATCTAATTGTATTTAACCATAGAATACGGTTTAACGAAGTTGGTGTAATAAATTCTAGTACTTTATCTAATACCTTCTATCTTAATTTACATGTGCAAATAAATAGGTTAATAATACATAAATTATCCTATTACAATTGTCTTCATCATCATCATCATCATTTCAGCCATTATCCGTCCACTGCTGGACATAAGTCTCCCCCATAGACTGCCAATAAAGAACGATCCTGAGCCACCTGCATCCACTGACTCCCTGCAACGCATTTCAGGTCATCTAGTGGAGAGCCGTCCTACACTGCATTTGCCCATACAGGGTCGCTACTCAATAACCTTTCTTCCCCATCGGCTGTCGGTTTTTCTAGCTATGTGACCAATTTATGTGACAATTATATTATTTTTCTATTTATTGTGAAATGGGAAAATTTGTAACGATGGATGGATAATTGCTACTCTTACACGCAAAAACTACTAAACAGGTTTGAATAAAATTTAATACAAGCGTATGTTATATAAATAATACTAATTAATATAGGCATAACCGCAGCCAAAATAGTTAGTATTATATATTATAATAAAAATAATAAAATAAAAATCTATACTTATAATAAATCTGTAGAGAGGTCAATTCTGTACATGAAATATATTTCCAAAATAACTATCAGGGGGTGATTAGTGATCGATACTGATGCCAAAAATGCAATCAGTAAAATTTTTGTCCGTCTGTCTGTATGTTCTTTATAGAAATAAAAACTACTCGACGGATTTTAACGAAACTTAGTACAATTATTCTTTATACTCCTGGGCAGGTTATAGTATACTTTTCATCACGCTACGATCAATAGGAGCAGAGCAGTGAAGGGAAATGTTAGGAAAACGGGAGATGTTATTTAATTTTTAAGTCCTTCCGTCACGTGTGCAGCCTTAATGGCCACTTTTTAAAATGTAAAAATTTCTACCCTTACGAAGCCGGAACGGGCCACTAGTAATATAATAAAACTGTAATGTGATGTGTGTAATGTGATGTCAATACATAGAAAATATTTAAAAATAATTGCTATGAAAGGTCTTAATAAGAGCAAATACATAAAAGCCAAAGACATAGTTTTGGAAAGTTTTGTTCCGTTCTTGTGATTAAGTTAGTTTTTGTTTTGTGGACCTTAAAATATTACAAGCTCTTATTTTTATTGTTCATCTATAAATTGTAACAAATAATTACTTACTATTTCGTATATAGTAAAAATGGGTCTATCCCTCCCAGCTGGCAGGCATAAACTGCACACCACTGAATAGAATACCAAAAGAAATCGTGACCACATCTTAAAATGTCTTTTAACAAATGATCGGAAATTTTCTATGTGTTTACTTTTTATAATTTCATCTTATCAAAGGTTATTGGCGCAATAAATAGGAATATTTGTCTGCGGTACCACTAATCCTGTTACGACCGATAATTCAAATAAATGTTCGGTTCAGCCTTTTGTCTTTGATTCGGTGCAAACGCATTTGGTAAATACATCATTTTGTAATCTTATTGTTGTTATAATAAATTATGATAATTTATTTATTTATGTGTTTTTGTTTATTCACTTATAATGTAGATATTAGGTTATAATAAAAACGTACACAGGCGGATTTAAAGATTTCTTCCAGTAAATTTTGAGAGTCCGAAAGGAGAAAGTGTGTATAGAGTTTGTATATAAAGCATAATATATATGGTGCAAAAATAATATGATAAATAGTAAATTATATTAATATTAGCTTTATATACTGTTTAGCATAAATATTAATAAATATATAAACACAAAGTAACTACGACACATATACGTAATTCGACTGTATTGTAAAATCACAAGAAGGAGACTTTGTACAAAAGTCGATTGCTTAGGTATCTCTGTCCCATTCGTGTTTCAACCGTGAAGCAGTTGTGTTTGCATGGCTGTGTTTCGGTTTGAAGGGTGGGATATGGCGTGAATATACAGGGTACAGAGGAATAACACCCGAGTCCTCAGGAATGGCAACGCATGGGGGGGGTATCATAGGCGAATTCATGGAAACTACTACAGAATTTACCTACCAAAAAAAAAAAAAACAACATTCTAACTGACAAATAAAAATAAAAAATCTAAAACATCTTCTTTACAGTATCATCGGCTAGTTACAATCAGAAACAATTGTGAAAACCGAATTCAATTTAATTAAATTAGGTGGAAACTACTGTATAACATCGACGTAATACCGAAACAAATATTTCGACCGACGGACGAAAATAAAAAAAAAAAACTTTAATATCTTCTATGTACATCCATCGTCTAAATACAATATTATTATATACAGCGAGATCAGATAAGCTGTGACAATGAATTTGTGTTTGTTATCTCTTAACGTTTTATTGTAACGTATTGTAAAATCTTTATTGTACATAATTTATATTAGATATATTAAAAGATTTAATATCTTAATGACTGAACCGACAGATCGATATAAAATGAAAAACATCAGCATTCCATCTATTCAGGAGTTTAAAAGTGGTGAAAATGGAATTTGGAATTCGGTTGTGCTACTGGTATGCTGCCGGGGCATTTTTTTAACGGATGATAATGGAATGGTAACTCCGCCTGCGCTAACGGTATATGCGTGCGAGCACCAGTAAGGGATAATAGCCCATTAGCTCATCATAATGAATATAACTGGAATTCAGCACGATGGTTGCCAAAGGGGACCACGGGGATCTCATCCAGATGGAGTATATTGCTAGCAATGGGACTAAAACTGCCGGGGTATTAGCACAGTGTAAGTAATAATATTAAAGTATATATAGTATGGATAATCCATGTTGCCTTTTTTTTCTTAAACCACTGAGGTGGCAGACAAGCATACGGCCCACCTGATGGTAAGCGGTTACCGTAGCCTATGAACGCCTGCAATACCAGAGGTATTACGCGCGCGTTGCCGACCCTGAAGAAACCTCTTTTCCCCCCTTTTGCCTGCTGCGACCTGACCTCAACCCCCTCTCAAACACGCGTCAGCACCAGAAAAGTCTAATGTATCTAGTTTAACTGTCCACTGCTGAACATAAGCCTCCCCTTAAAGGGTTTTGCTAGTAGTTGCCATGCTTAGCAGGCGGATTAACAACCGCAGTTAGGCTTAAGAGATGTTAAAGAGGGACGCTGCTGACCATCCCTTGTCCTCCCTTGCTCGATTTTTACGACACCCACGAGAAAGGAAGGGGGTGACCATGGCTTCTCTCATATAATATGTTGCTAATATTTAGAACTAAGGTTTTCTGCATGCATACCCAGTAAAGTTCTTGTTAAATGTAAAATACTCGCAAGTCTACTGAGAATCCTTTTCACTTTTTAAGGATAATCTTCAAACTATTGAGCGAGGAATTATGTTCATAATTACAAACTATGTAAATAGTCAAACAGCTCGAATCAAGCATTCAACTAATGTTGTTTGTAAGATATATATATATATTCTTTAGCAATATAAAGGTTGTAAGCCTCTTGGTAATAAATAGAAATGAAGCACAAGTTCTCACAGTTTATTTAATTTAGATATCAAGTAATTAAGATATTAAGTGATTAAATCATATATTTACTTATTTTACTTTGATAAATAACAAATAATATAACATAAATCCCAACTTCTGTTAATCCATTCACATTTATTTAACTACAGCTTCTTTAAGACTTCCATCAACAATAATTGTGATATATTTTATATAATGAACACATGCTTTACTATACTTGTTCACTCTTGACACAGCAGGGAGCTCCGCTCTGTTCAACGGTTGGACAAGAAGTCCCCACCCAAATAACAATCTTTTATATCTACAGAGGCGAATTCGAGTGAACAAATCAGCGAGACCACGTGTTCTTACAATTTCATTACTTTTTATTGAAGTATCATGACAATAAATAATTATAAAATTAATTTAAATATAAATTAGTGTTCTATATACATTACAATAATAATTTATTACCAAATTTGGTATAATAACAATTTTAACGTTTTATTATATTTAAAGTAGCTAGTCTGATTTTTATTAATAAATGTAGGTACACATTTTAACACAAGACGTTTAAGAAAATTAATATAATTTAAAATAAATATCTAATACTTATAACTTATCTCAAGCCGCTTGATCATCTACGGGACACAATACATTTCGAAGTAACAAAAAGTATCATTACGTATTATTCCATAAGCATATTTATATACTAGCGGCCCGTCCCGGCTTCGCACGGATGGACAATTTTACAACATTTTAAAAAGTGGTTATTGTGACATAACGATAATAGTTGAACATATAGTATCGTGAAGTTTTTTGTAGTTATTGATATTTTCTTCAATATTGTAAAACATACTTTTGTTCCATCACCAATAGTTTCCACAGCGCACGCGACGAAAGATATTTTATAGCATTTTTTACACCTTGAGTTACGTTACTAAAGTTTTAGTAAGGATCCCTAATCTTTTCAAGCAATAAATATAGCCTATGTAACTTAGGGTGAATGTAGCTTTCTAATGTTGAGAGAATTTTTGAAATCGACAAAGTAGTTTTTGAGTTTATTCATTACAAACATACACACAAAAATACAAATCTTTCCTCTTTATAATATTAGTGTAGATTCGTGAAGTTATTTCAGTTTGGAATTGTGTTAATAGTTGAAAAATGTTTAACTGCATTCGATTGATTCTCAGCCTAGACCTTCAAAATTTTCGAATTTATTCTTTGGATAATTTAAAAATGATTATTACTTACTTTGTACTCCAGAGGACATGTTAAACTATTATCCAATAAGGTATGCCAGAGAGCGGTATCTTTACTCAATTAATAATTATTTAGAAGACATAGTTTCAAAATAAAGTCTATTGTAGTATTGTAGATTATAAACTGAAACTGGATCTTTGTATTCACTACACCTAATTCTTTGTTTCTATTATGACTTACTGTTGAATTTTTATTATACCGATTTCATTACATTATTTAAAAAAAATTATGCATCTTATAAAATACTTTGTAGATATATTTTGCCCATCCCTACCCCTTGTTCAGATGTTGATTCAAAGGCAGTAAACTTCGAATAATTTATTATTCGTAGGTTGTAAATAACAAATTTTGCAAATGGTATTAAAACTATAAAAGAACGTAGGAAATAATTCATCTGAATATATTATCTAGACCTACAAAAGAGAAAGGAAGGATTGAAAGACGAAGAACTAAAGTAAACAAATTTTTAAGTGTCGTTGGAGTAATTGAAGGAATTTTAACACTAACATAGTGTCTACTTTTAAATAACTAATCGTTAGCCGTTTCGGTACCTACTTTTAAATAACTTCTGCATCTATTGAAGCATAATAGATAAATTGTTTAAAAGTAGGTACTAAAATGGTTAAGTAATTTTTTTTAATATACGTCTATCAACAGATGTCTGGCCATTTTGGGGATATTCTTTTCAAATACTCTATCTTACTTTAACAGGTGGTTACCTTATAATTGTCGCAGTTTATAAAATAAAATGCATTAATGCTAATAAAATAATGTATTTTAAACTTCAATTATTGTATAAACTTGACTATTGAAGTAAAATAATATCAGTCATACTTTTTATTTAAGTACATAACATAACTTATATATTACATAGCAAAATAGTAATTACATATTTACATTGTTCATTTGCAAAGAAAACACTTTACAATTTAATACACTTAATGCCAATAAACACAAAAGTTTGTATCCATGCAAAAATTGTGATTTCCTTCCACCAAGCGGTTTGTTGGTCATCTGTCAATTTACTATTATCCACAATGAATAAATAGACAGGTACATTTTAAAAATTAAACTCAACGCTATAACACTACCGGAGTCTGGTCTATTCGGATTTGTGTCGATGTCTTCATCCTTATCATTATTTTCTCTGAAATTAGGCATAAATAATTGTCTTTCAGCCATTTATTATCGACTGGACAATGTATGGTTGGAATGATGGTGATGATGATGACCATGAATCGTTTTCTTTGGATGTTAATTATCTATGGTTGCTTTGAATGGTGATTTTTACAACTATTTTGCAGATGAATCGCTTGCTCTCCTGAAAGTAAATAAATAATACAGATTTAAATGAATGTAGGAAGGTGTAACCCATGTGATTCACTATTAAGTTTCTCATTTTTAACAGTGATGATTTTTGAGAGTGAGAATAAGTGATATCATTTTTAATTCGATGCCGAGATGTATTCCCAGGTTCTATGTTTATGCATAGAAATGATTGACGTGAGTTTTTTCGTAATCAACAGATGATACTTGTATCCATTTCCTAAAATCCAAGTATATGTATATATATGATGATCATTTGTCGTTTCATATGATACCATTTTAATTTTTGGAATATTATAAGACCCAAAAAACTCTTGCAACACAAAAAAAAACTTAAAATTAAACTCTCCATCATGTTGGGTAGACATGGTTGAGAATAGCCAATAAAATAGCCATATTGGCTATTCTCATTAGATAATAATTGGAGAGACCAGCCCCCAGCAATGGGATAGAAATGGGATCACGATGGTAATGACATATATATCCAGTCTCACACGATCGTTGTTGTATCGTTGCTATAAAGAGATAATGCTTTTTTAACAACCATCGACATATCGATATTTTAAAATCAATTCAGATTTAGATCAAACAAATCTAGATGGAACGGCGAATCTAAAATCAGTTGTAAATTTTTAATCATAGCAAAGTGATATGATTTGATAATTATATAATTTAAAATGAGAAGTACTACTATATTTACAAATTAAGGTACATGTAATAATCAATGTTATGGTCTGATAGCGAAGGGATATTGTATTGTATATGTCCATCAGTGATATCGACAAAGATCAAACTTACTATGATCTTAATGTCTCGGATAATTGGATAATCGATGTTCGAGTAATCGATATTTTACTGTGTAGGAATAAATTTTGTGATAATTGGTTGAGTTGTTAAAATGTTTCGAGGCAACAAATAAACAAACAAATTCACTTTTACATTTATAATAATGAGTAAGAATTATCTATGCTAATATTATAAATGGAAAATTTAAAAGCAACTCGAACTGATTTTAAAAATTCTTTTACTTATAGAACTACATTATTAGCAAATAAACAGGCTATATTTTTCAAAAAGTTAGAGGTCACTACAAAAATTACAATAATGTTAAACAAAGTATCAAAAATTTGCCTATTCACACTAATTGGAATACTAATTCATCTATCTATCTACCCGAGTGAAGCCGGGCGGATCGCTAGTAATTATTATAATAACAATTATATCAAATAAATACTTACAAATTTTCTATTCTTAGCGTCGCCTCGAGTATGTAATCCGTTAATAATTCTTTAGAATCAGCAGCAGACACAAATGCTAAATGTGAAAAATCCTCTCTGGGTACTTTTCTTGCTCTTGCATTTGGCATATCGTTAACCATAGCCAATACATCTCTTTCGTCAAGTAAAATATCACTAACTGTGTAATGCATTGTTACATTAGCTGTTATCAGACTTAAATCGTATGCCGGGGGAGTCGATGAACCGTATATTTGTCTGTTCCGTATTGCACCGTAGTTCCATCGCCTGAATGTTTTGTCCCTTATGTTTTGGCCGAAGTGTGCGATTTGTTTTAGAGCAGCTCCTCCAAACATATTGGTATAGTCTTGGTCTTCTATAGTATCATCTCTCTGTAAAATTTAAAATATTTTATGTAGTATTTATTTATAATATTATAAGGAAAATGTCAATGTCGTGACATCAAGAGTTATAGGAATCCGCCGAAAATCGTAGTAAGTGGTAAGAACTCCACTGACAAGAGCATCGGTCTTAAATAAGAAATGAATCAATGCTTTTTTTATTTATTGTTATTTCATTACACTTGCATAGTGAAAGGATAGTAAAGTTTTTTTATATATAGGTAATATTGCAATAGTAACCAGTTTTTTTGATAATTCAAAAATTTATTATTGGAAATGAACGCAGAGTTGTTCCATACATTATTTGTTTCTATCCTACATTCAGCATTTTTTGTAAATTGATCTTTTTTTTAGAATATTAAATCTATGCATACATTTTTTATACTTAAGGTTTACGAGATCTCTGATGATTGATTCCAAGAATAAGTGTTATATTAACTGGTAGTCAAGTCTGAATTGTAAGTATTATATAATCCTTGTCCAATTTCTGTGGATCTTTCAATTGTGCTTTCAACTCCGAGTTTTCAAAAAGTGCAGGTTCCCGAAATACAGAAGGAATTTTTAAATACTTTCTGTGGTCAACATGTTTTCTGAATACTCGAAAACAAAAAAGTACGCCGAAACTAAACAGAAATCACAATTGAGGTTTTCAGATTCCATAATAACGACATAAAATGCGAAGTCAATCACTTTCGATTAAATTTACACTAATTAGATATTGGAATTTAAGGAATTAGGAAGTGGAAGTGAAATGGGCATATAGCAATGATTTATTTAGTTTAGTTACAATGTAACTAAACTGCAGATATGCATCGCGTGACATCTTTCAATTATGACAGCAAACTACAAAATATTGCAATAAAGTATAGCAATTAGTATCGTAGATAACAATGTTGTTTTATTAAAATTTTTACTAAACAATTGACGTGTGTGTAATATTTATTACTTTTAGTTGATTATCATAATCGTATGTAGTATGTAATATAATCACAAATTAATCACGCCAAATCTAACCCGGAATAGTTTCTTTTATGATTACATAGTTGATAAAGAATACCACCTAATTGTTAATGTTCGGTATTAAAACCAACAGATAACGATAACTATTGCTGAAATCGTTAGTTCCACTTTAATATGTGCGTAAATACAAAAAAAAAAAAATTAACAATTCCATATTTTATACTTCGAACTATGGCGTATAGGTTTACCTACTAATGGCGTATTTACAGCTCTGCCAGATTGCTTGTGTTTATTGATAACCTATCTGTGACGGAATTCTTAGTGATATTCCAAACTAGGAGATAATATTAAGCATAGTATAAATTTTGTTGAGATAATCTTTTACAGCAAAGACCCAAGTCGACTAACAAAGAGATAACGATTTCAAACTTTAACACCAGTCAAGGAAGAATACATTTCAAATACAAATTCTATTGTTTCTATGAATCCTAAATCATCAAGTTCGGAATGGGTGCTATTTATGGGGAGTCGTCCATTAAGATACAATTTATTGATCTGTTCGTTTTGTTTAATTAAACTTTATATTTGATGGTTAGTATAATCACTTAAAACATCATTAAAATATATATTATTTAAAAAATAAAACATCTCAATTTACTATTATCAAAATTTGAGCATTTTCTTTTTTATATCAATTTTTTCATGAACTGTTTTCTATAAGAATGTGTAATAAAATAATAATCGTTGATGAAATTTGTATTAATATATGTACTTATAAAAATTGTACTATGAATTTGGAATTTATTACTTGTTAGCTTTTACCCGCGGCTTTGTTTGTGTGACTGGGATATGTTTATTAATCTGTATAAAAGTCTTGCCTATATCCTTCTCCATCCCATATAATACGTAACATAATATAGTAAACAAAGTTACTTTGACGATACGCACACCTATGTAAAATAAAGTGAGCAACAGGAGATCCAGTATGTTCATAAAGCTATTCAACTTACTAGTAGATTGTTAAATAAAAATTTATGCATATCTGTTACATATTTTAAATGAATCAAAATAAATAAATAAATAGTTAATAGTAAAAAAATATTTAACACAAAATACTTACCATCATTTCTGTAATAGACATCAAATCATATAATAGTTCCTGCTCAGGGTCATCATCAGAATCAGGTCGTGTTATATTTGGTAGACTCGGTATTGCTACTTCTACGAAGCCAGCAGCGACTGCTGAAGTCTGGAATAATTTTAGTTATTAAATATTAATTTAATTTTATTAAGTTTAATTACTATCATTTAAATGGAAGAGTAAGATACGCCAACAAATTATAACAGAGTACAGATACACGTAGTACAGAGTTACACCTAACATTTCTGTCTTTAGAAATGTCAATACATTAGAAATTTCAAGAATGTCTCATATAAAGATGGTCCTTTTATTTCTATAGACAAAAATTACGGATTATTAGTAGATAGTTTTTATAAGTTGAACAGTCAGCTAGTTTACGATTGTTGTATCTGTCAATAAACTTTCTTTTATTGTTTGTTATTTCACAGAGGCTTAAATATTTTTAATTTTATTTTATATCGTATAAACAATTTCTTCAATAGAGTCAGTAAATGCAGGTGACTCGAGACTTTCCTTCTTTTTGACAGTCTATGAGGGAAGACTATGTTCAGCAGTGGATAGATAATGGCTAATATGATAAAACAATTACTTACATAAATTGTGTTAGTGAATCTCGCCAATGTTCGGAGTGCTGTGTTTGGGAAATAGTTCTGATACCCCACACCAGCCAATAGATTTACTGAGGCAAATTTCGCATTGTACTCTGGCAACATTGAGGTTAATACTAGAAATGCTGTTCCTCCCTGCGAGTGGCCAATATAATGGAGTTGTTCACTGTCAGTATACTCGAGAACGTAGTCAATCATTTGAGCAACATCGTACATGCCAATTTCTTCGAAACTCAAGTCAAAGAATTGTCGTTTGTCCTTTGAACTGTCTGGGTTAAGTTTTACGTGACGACGTGATAATTTATTACCACGAGCATTACCCAGCCATACGTCAAAACCGGCATCGGCGAAGTTGAATGCTGTTGGTAGATTTATTGAATTAATTGGTAATCCTAAATTGTTATCTTTTAATTAATAATCATTAATACATTTAATCACTCCGATAGGTGACAACACTTTTATAATTAGACACATATTGGCCTCATAAATATGCCAATTAATCTTAATCTAACTTGTTGGCTTATGAAAAACGTCTGATAAGCTTAATGTATTTTTATAAGTTAATTAATTAAATTACTATTTTGTAATTTTTTATGAAAGTTAAATCATCCTTATTACGTAACTAGCTTTTACACATGACTTCGTCCCTGTAGCTGAGATAATATGTTGACTGACCAAGATATATAGTAGCCAATGTTTTTCGCCATTCTATGTAATATTAATATACTAAATTTTATGACTATTAATTATTTCTTATGGCTAAGAAATAAAAAAATTTACTTTCACATTTATATTGTTAATAAAGATAGTTTTAGGAATTTATGGGTATGTTACTCACCTAAGCTTTTTTGTGGACCAAGAAGAATGTAGCAGTTCGAAGCCGCCATGAGTCCGTGCATCATGAAAACCACTGGTCTTTTAGACGTAGATGTGGTTTGGAATTGTCCATACGGTATCCTATGTAACTCCAGTATGTAGCCATCATGTGTCTCCACATTGTGAGATTCCCCTGCGTATCCTTCGTAACGAATCCATTTTATCTAGAACATTACAACATATAGTTTAATTTCTTCATCTCCATAATTAATGTTTTAGCGTTAAGTACAAACGATAGATTACCTGTAAATTGGAAGGTGGGATCCAGATCCTACCTTCCAAATCTTGCATAAAATTTTACTATCATCAGTGAAATTACAGAGCATGGAGGCATATCACCATTATCATCATCACCTTAGCTATTATCTGTCCACTGTTGACCATAGATCTCCCCCATAGACAAGGAACAGTATTTAGCGACCTGCATCCACTGACTCCCTACAATGCACATGAAGTCGTCACTCCATCTAGTAGGGAGTCTTCCTATACTGCGTTTGTCCGTACGTAAAACTTTTCTTCCATAATCTATCTCAGAGTATTTTGCGACACCTGTGGTGAGGTTCATGATTATAAGCGACCGTTACCACTTTGTATTTAGATTGGTCGTCAGCTTGTTTGTCTTTCTCAGTTGCATAAAAAATTAATATAATTTTATATACTAGTCTATATAAATATGCAAATCATTACAATGTACATATGTATTGGTAGAATGCGAGTAAGTGTATAATTAAATATTGCTTGCATTTAATATATCGGGGTGAATTAAATTGGTGGAATCTCGAAACCGCAACTGTTATACATAGGTTATATTAATTTGAGCTGCCACGGAACTAACAATGAAAATACAGGTCTAATATTATTTATTTATTCATAGTTTATTATTCGTAGAATCTGTAGCTAATAATAATATGAATATATTTTATGTGCCAAGTTATAAAAAAATCAATCGATTTATAATTCATTTATTTATGATTCCTATTCATCAATTTGTGTTTGCGAATTGTAAAGTTTTTCACCTATTATTTGTATTTTACAATAACAAGAGGTTAAAATCTAATACACAGTCAAGCATGCGAATGCCCCAAAACTGTATTAAGTAATATGCTCTTTAAGCGTGTAAGAAGTTAACAATAATAAAGTGCAACGGTTCCATTGCTACCAATTTCTTCTTTCGAGAAATTGGTAGCAATGGAATCTCGTGGAAAACATTACATCACCCACCAAGTAATGGTCTTTCTATACCTAAACCTAAGGCTTGACTTCCTCCTAATAAGTATCTAAACATTTTTTTATTTATGATTTTAATATTTATCTATTATGACGACCTAGCAGCTTAACATATCGTTTTACCTGCCAATAGTCGAAGTTCGATCCCGGTACAATATATATATTAATTATTTATTTATTTATTCATGAGTGTATTGTAATGGTCTGGATATTTTCTATATTTAATATGTATTTAAAAAAAGTAATTATTTAAGTATATCTGTTGGTTGCCCAGTATTCATAGTACAAGCTTTACTTATTTCATTACACTTATATAAGCATTCTTTTTGTAGATAGAAATCACTAAGCGACTAAATTGAAAACGTGCTCGACGAATGTACATCGCATCGGGTAAATTGACGATGCTCTGAAGAGAGACCAAATGATAAGTACCGGAAACCGATTTCCATGTATGAAGTGCCGCTCTATAGTTATCTAGATGTATGAATATTGCAGTCTAACTGCAATTTCAAAGTTATACTCTTTGATAATTTAGTATTAAATCTTTATCTATGAAATTGGCTTTTCAAATTGTAAATTTCAATAGAATTTAATGAAAAGTTAGCCATGTTTTGTTGAAATCCTCATAGAAACACAAATTACAAATAATTGTAATTTTTACAAATAAAAAATCAATTAATAATGGATTTCTTATTTGTTTTACTATATGTTTTTTTTTGGTTGGGGCAATTATTTCTTGTTTACATTTTTATTAAGTTCTATTGAAACAAACTACTGTAAATATATATTATACGCAATGATAAACTAATGATCATTTATTTGTCTTTGTATTTATACTTAACAAAAAAGATGTCAGCATAGGATCGTCCCCTGCTTCGTTGGAGTCTAGCAAAAGGTGCACATGTCAAGCGCTACGTTGACTATAACAGTTATAATTGACAAATGCTTTTGACTACGAGGACTTGCGTGGATAGAATGCCAGTCGGAGATTGATGTAGTCAATCTTCATTGATAGCAGAATATACAAAAATGGTACAAAATAATTCTTTGTTTTGCTGTGAAGCAAAGACAGCTGCATTGTTTTCGATCTTCAAATCATTTATTTTTAAGACGTATACCTATTTCATCTTTGTAATAAGCAAGTGCTATTTCTAATACGATCGGTAAATAGCAAAACATATTAATTTTGAGTGATTTAGTTTTCGGTTATCTGTAAAGTTTGCGATCGCGTATTATTGTAGTAAAAGTGATATCAAATCACTGACTATCCACTTAAATGTTTATCAAAAAAATTTATATTTAATCGCAACAGATATCTCTTGAAAAAGAAGCGTCGAACAATGAGATTTTAAAGAACAATTACTGCAATACGCTGCCGCTTGGTGGTAGTGGTTTAAAGTGTTTACAATTTATTCATCGTTGTTTTCTGTTGGCCACTTTTATTGCATTAGTTTGTTAAACGTTGAAGGCAGCGGCTGCTAATTCATTTGATGGCGTACTTCTACTGGGTACAGGTTTAAATTAATTATAACTGAGTCATTGACTTTGGTTTCCCATTAGGCAGGGCCAACAGAGCACAAATGTTTTTAAACGTAGAAATTTATTTGCAGAATTTCAAAGAAATTCTTTTTAAATTGTAATTTCCAGCCAGTGCGGTTTATATCCAAAGTGGCCAGCATGAAATGAAAAATATAAAATAAATTCACTATTGAACCATGACCTCATCCTTTGTCAATTAAGATACTTTAAATATAGCATTTGTAACTAGTACCGCTTTAAACCATTTTAATGCGCCCCATATTATTTAACTTATTATAAAAAATTAACTATAATGTAAGATACTTGCAATAAATACTTACTGTTTCCTCTAAGGGGAATATGGGTCTATTTCTCCCAGTTGGTGAGGACAAACTGCACACCACTATACCGAAGAATAAAGCAAGTCGTGACCACATTGTAAAATATGTTTTAGCAAATGATCACGAAATATTCTATGAGTCTACTTTTTATAATTTCATCTTATCATATATCTAAGTTTATTGGTGCAATAAATGGGTTTGTTGTCCGCATTGGTACCAACACTAATCTTTTTACAACTGATTATCACTTATTAAAATTACACACGTCATAATTTTAGTAAATATTCAATTTTTATTTAACACAAAGTTATTTTGCGGCTGTGTTCTTGACAATGATACATGAATGACATCTCGTGCTCTGATCACTGATATCAGTATCTCATATTATATCTAACAATCATGTCTGTAGATAATCTCATGTACTTATCGATATTTCATAAAATTGGCTATATGTTTATTTATTTTTTATAATTTTTTCATTATTAAATATAAAAAGAATAATGTTTTGTATGTTCAAATGTTTGCCTGCCGTTTCGTGTACCATAACGTCAATATTATATTATATTGTATGTTCATTTTCATTCATTATTATGTTTAATCTCTTAAGAACCTTAAATACGCTCAGGCTGTAGACTGAGCTCCCTGTTGAGGTTTTCCTTAGAGATTACACTTACTCACTTAGAGATGACAGTAGGGAGTTCTTCAAAAAGGGTATACTAAGGTTTCTTCAGGGTCAGCAACGCGGACGTGACACGCCTGGTATTGTAGGCATTCATAAGCTACAGCGACCATTTACAATCAGGCGAGCTGTATGCTAGTTTGCCACTTTTGTAATATAAAAACAAAAGTGACAAGAAAGATTTTAAAAACAATATTTTTAATTTATAATATACTTGTCCAAAATCATTGATTTCAAATTGTAATATAAAGCTAAAAATGAGATATTTATAAATGTCAAATTAGATTGGTTATTACATAACATGAAAAAAATCATTATATCCAATACCCAGTAAATATCAAAGTATTGCTAATATCAGTTAATTGAATTTGTTTTAATATCAGTATTTTAATATTGATTAATTATTATTATATAATATATGTTTAGATACACAAATGCTAAATAACAAAAACTGTAGGTAATTAATTTTGCCAGTAGATATTTTTCATATAATTTTTTTAAATATGAAACAATTTTCAATTTGTTTGATAGATAGATAGATAAGTAATTTACTACTTACATTTAAATTTCATTACTTACAACATACAAAAAACAACAAATATAGATAGACATGCACAGTGAAAAGAGATAAAAAATCGAAGTTTGCCAGTATCTATACAAGGTAGAAATGAAAATATATCTACCTAGGCTATGCTTAAGCTGTGCAAGATAATGTAAAACTTTGTGAGATAGGTTTCTGAAAAGTACATTAATAGCAGTCTCCAGTCGGCTCTTCTTCTCTGTATGAATACCATGCATATCATTACCGTAGGTCAATATGTTATTACATCTCTCTCTTGTAATATGAACAAAATTATATTATATCTAATTACTTTAAGAAGCTTATTACACTGTCAAGTTTATATCAAAGATATTAGGATTATATCTGAATAAATCTGTTAATTTATGGAATTATTGACGCATATTTAATATCAGTATTTTTACAATATCTTGTATGGCGTAGATCTCACTATAATCTTATATAATATATGTTTAGATACGGTAAACAACATGCTAAATAACCTGGACAAAACTGTAGGTAATTAATTTTGCGCAGTAGATATTTTTCATATAATTTTTTTTAAATATGTAAGATATTTTCAATTTGTTTGATAGATAGATAGATAAGTAATTTACTACTTACATTTAAATTTCATTACTTACAACATACAAAAAACAACAAATATAGATAGACATGCACAGTGAAAAGAGTTAAAAAATACAAGTTTGCCAGTATCTATACAAGGTAGAAATGAAAATATGTCTACCTAGGCTATGCTTAAGCTGTGCAAGATAATGTAAAACTTTGTGAGATAGGTTTCTGAAAAGTACATTAATAGCTTTATGTTAACTAGTTGACCTGACAGACGTTCAGTTAAAATTCATTGTATGGGTAAAGGAAAAATGAAGTTTTTAAATTTTTCCAGTTTTCTTTTCAGCTTTTCAACGAATTTTAACAATTGGCAATCAATTCAACTGGTTAAAAAAATTTTGTATATATATAATATTGTCTTTAGATAAAGTCCATGTAAAGAGGTAACTAAAAGGATTTAATGGTCGAGCGATGGGTAGCAGCGTCCCCCTTAAAACAGCACCAAAGCCTAGCTGCGAGTAGCTAAGAGGAGCTCTCTAAATAATACTTTATAATCGAGAAAAAAATTATAGTCTTGAAAGTAATACAAATAAAGTGAAATTTATGGGAATTGTGGAAAAATTTTCGCTTGGAACATTATATAGTTTTAAACGAAATCATTTTTAATATACAACGAATAGGTATCGAGTGTTCATTCTAAAATAAAAGTAATTTATCAATTAAATTATAGTAATTAATTGATAAGTTAATAAGCTTTAATTAAAATAATCAATATACCTAATATCTTTAAAAATACTCGACTGACTAGCTTACTGACTGTCTGATCTATTGCCCTTACACATTAATCAGAAGTAAGCTACTGCTACTGGTCAATTGATTAGAATCATTTTGTTTAATTCCACTACCATTAGTATGAATTAGCCTACACTTATGTTTTGATACGTGTTTCAACTGATGATATCTCTATCTGAGATGAATCATAATTAATAGGTAAGGTCGTAAAAAAAAAAATACAATAACACTCATTAATTAAAGAAAAACAACCAATAACATCAATACTTAACAATGACATTACAATCGTAAACAAAATCTGCTAGGTGCGGTTAAACCGCCCTAGGAGACGGGGGCGCCACTGAGCTCTAAGAATACTATTAGTATATATGTATATCAATCTCAGTATCACATGTGGGTGATCGGATTCATACTAACGATAGCGGAATTAAACAAAATAATTCTAAACAACTTATTAGTGACGTGGACTTAAACAAAATAAGCGATATTGAGTAAAATATAAATAAGCCAGTGAATCGAGCCTAAAGAAATGGGAATTCGTAATTAGTTTCTGTTTAAAATTAACCTTTTTTATTTGTTAAACTTTCTCACACCTTTTCCTAGGTAGAATATGATCAAAATGAACTTTTTTACATATATTGGTAAATGTAGTTTCTTATTTAAAAAAGTAAATTGAAAACAAACGGCATTTTACTTAAAATTAATATAATTAATAAATAATAATATACTATTTAACAACAAGAACAAGCATATTTTGTAAATTTTTTTTAGGATTAACATCGTTTAAGAATGAATTTTCTGAAATATAAGCGGTTTTTTTTATACAACTTAGAATGGCAAACAAGCTGACGGCCCACCTGATGGAAAGTGGTAACCGTCGCCTACAGATATGAGCAGTACCATGGACATAACAGAGTATACTGTTTCGCCCATGATACCGCCCATGCGTTGCCATTCCTGAGGACTCAGATGTTATTCCTCTGTACCCTGTAAATTCACGCCAAATTCCACCCTTAAAACCGAAACACAGCCATGCAAACACAATTGCTTCACGGTAGAAACACGAATGGGACAGAGGTACCCAAGCAATCGACTTTTGTACAGAGTCTCCCTCGGGTATTGATGAAAACGTGCTCCGCACATACTAAGCTGGCACATTTAATTTATGGTCTAGGTAAACGGCTAATATAATATCATCATCATCATATCAGTCTTTAACTGTCCACTGCTGAACATAAGCCTCCCCTTGGGGTTTTGCCAGTAGTAGCCACGTTTGGCAGGCGAATTGGCAATCGCAGTCAGGGCTTTAGAGATATTTTAAGAATGACGCTGTTGCCCATCTCTCGTCCTCCCTTAGTCGAGTCTTTCGACACCCATGGAAAAGGAAGGAGTGGCCTATTCTATGCTGGGACCACACGGCTAATAATCACAGTTCCTAATAAAACTAGCATAATTATTACAATAAAATTGTTGTAAAGTGACATATAAAATATGATATTTTGTTTATTGATTCTGTACGTGGAATGCGATAATATCTTAATCCTGTCGATATTGGTCAAATAAAACAATAAAATGGTAATCACACCTGTTATGGTTTACTAGTTGCGCCCAACGGCGGCGGTTACAACCGTATTAAAATGTATGGTATCCAGCCACTATCTCCCATTGGCCAGGACCATTGTGGGAAGTAGTGAGTGACGTCATTAGCGTATGCAAGTGCATCACACCATCTTAATCCATTAAAAATACGATCTTCATTTGTTACAGAAGAAGCTATTTTTAGAAGCATTTTCGTCGTATTTATCAGTACTTTTGCAGTTAATTCATTAAAACTTTTACTTAGAAGCATCATGCTTTACGAGTTCTAGAAAATTTCATACTCATCATTCATAAATTAAGAGTATTAAAGGGATCATGGATAGATTTGTTTGCATATAAAACAATGTAAGTTAGTTATAGCGAATATATAGTTGTGCCTCCCTCATAGACAGATTACCATTGGGGGGTTTTGCCAGTATTTGCCATGCTTAACAAGCTGGTTGGCAACCGCAGTTAGCCTGTTGGTCATGTTTAAGGAGGGACGCTGATGCCCATCCCTCGACCATTAAGTTCCCTTAATTTTACCATTAAGTTATGACATCTTATGACATCTACGGGAAAGAAAGGGACGGCCCACTATCGCTCTCGCTGTCACACAGCGACAGAGAATATCACGGTCAAGAAATAAATACGAGTATAAATCCGCTATCCTGACTTCAGAAATGGAAAAGTCTTTGATTTAGTATTTATTCTAGAATATTCCCGACTTTGGATTACTAATTCTTATAAAATATAAAAATATTTCAATTTACATTTGAAGACTTCGTTTGAAGTTACGTTGATTTGTATTTGTGACATTTCAGAAAATGGATTACTTTATTCAAACTTTATTTCAATTTAATTAATTTTAGATTGAATTGTGCCTAAACTTATTCAATAAATTTAAGAGCTTGTTTAGATAACTTTTGTTAGTTATTTAAAAAATCTACATTTATTTGAAATTGTAAGTACCTACT